TATATATATATATATATATATATATATATATATATATATAGACAAGTTGGGTGGCATTGGTGAGTTGGGTTGAAACGGAAACAACTCACACCCAACAATCTTTATTTTCATTTTTTTTAATCTTTATTCTTAATTAACGAATAATTAAAGATAATGACATATAATTTATGAAACTAACTTTCAAAATTAATTAGTCAAAATCTTATCTCCCATAAAAATAAAATCTCCTATTTTATGTAGGCTTTTAATATATAATCATATTAATATTTGGATTTGAAATTTTAAAGTCCAACTTTAAAATTCAACTATTAATTTAGTAATTCCAATAATTACTTAATTAATATCTAAAGCCTAATTAATCAATCTAATTGATTAATTTGTTTTATTCCTTTAATTGACATCTAATAAAAATTAGATTTAATTAAATAATCAAATTATTTAATTATATTTTGTCAATTAATCTAACTATTGGAAATACCAATTCTAAAATTGCCATCATCCAAAATTTGGTGTGACCCTTTTAGGTTCACGATTAACACTAGTAGTGGGTTTACAACTCATTTGTAATTTAAATTAATATAATTAATTTATATTCTTGAAATTAACTCCATAATTTCAAGAACCCACAAATCATGGGAACACCTAGTAAGTAGCATGATTATCTAGTGTTAACTGAAATAGCGAGTAAACCTTTTCAATTGCAAGTGCATACATGTAAAATCCTTTCGACAACTAATTTCTCAATTAAATCTTGGGCATGGATTTATTATTCGAAACCCAATTGATTTAATAACTATGATTCCATTTCAAGTTTAGTGATTCCTTTATGAATCCATATTCATCTCGCCTTGGCCAAGGTCTTTGAATCATAAACTATGAAAAACATAAGAAATTCACTTATCCACATAAGTGTCGAATCTTTTGTTGGCCACAGATAAATCTCCATGCATATTAATACAGTACTCAAAATATCCCTTTTATGATTGTCCAACAATTAAAGGATAAATCAAAGTAAAGCACAACATGCACAAGATTACTATCGTACCTCAAGTCAGAGGATCAGTCATGTACTATTGCAACATGAAAATTCTTATTCGACAGTTAAAAACTTCCAGTTAAGAATTTTCATCGGGTCATGTTCAGTGAACTTGTTCTCCAACAAGCACCCGCATATATGCATTCGCGTCCACACGCTAATGTTGATAGAATGCAACATTCTCATCCGATGAGCATACATCATATGCACAAGTCTTACCGGATGGATGTCCTGTGTCGAAATACCCATCGACTTGGAACTTATTTAAGATCACAACTTTAAAGACATGTTCCATGATTGCCATCAAAAGCGAACCATGCCTCATAGCTAATAATGATCTACGGACTTTCTCATATGTGCAAATATAGGATAAATGCAAAACATAAGATAAAGCTATGCCTAAAAATAATATAATTTCCAATAAATTGTCTTTAAAAGTAGAAATATATCCAATCAGATTGGAACGCCTGGTATTCTACTCTAACAACAAGAACGATTCGTCTTGGATTTAATTCTATTTTGGGATTAAATATGTGTCATTGATACATTGGGTCATTGTATTGTTTAGCCAAATTAAGTGATCAAATTATTGTACATTGGCTAGGGAACTTATAGATTGTGAAATGATTAAATGTGGACACCCGGT